TGCCTTCTTTCATCGCCGTAGGTTTCTCCGGCCTTCCCACAAGAAGGTGCCGCTTGGATTGATACTCTCTACAAGAGAGCATTTCTTGGCAGTTTATGAGGAATTAGGCAGCCTCTCCTCCCCGGGCGGACTCCCCTCATCCACATCCACCTATCGAGATTAGTAACAATCTTGAGGATATGTCACAGACACATGAGAAGAGGAAGAGGAGGGTGTCCGAGGGGGAGGGAGGAGGGAGGAGGGAGGAGATTCTGACTTGGGAGTTTCCAGGATCATGTGCGAGAAAGCTGCGATGAGGGTGAAGGAGGAGGCAGAGGCCTTGAAGATGCGATTGGAGGAAGAGGCGAAGAAGCGGGAGATGGAGAACGCAGAGAAAAAGGAGAGAGAGGAGAAGGAGCAGAAAGAGCGGGAAGAGAAGGAGAGGGAGGAGAAGGAGGAGAAACAAGAGCTGGACGAAGAAAAGTCGGAAGAGGAGAAGGAGGACAAGGGAGACAATGACAATGTCAGTGATGCAGACAAGGCAAGCGATGAGGCCAAGACCGAGGAGCAGGAGCAGGAGCAGGAGCAGGAGCAGGAGCAGGAGCAGGAGCAGGAGCAGGAGCACATTCCAGCTGAAGACAAAAACGGAGGAGGAGACGACATCGGAGAAGTAGGGGATGGTGAAAGGAGGATTGAGCGGGAAGAAGATGAAGCGATGCAGAAACATGGAGGAGACTGGAGGGAAGGGGAGGAACAGCAGGATCATCGATGGGACGTGGATCCAGAGATGAATCAAGATGGAGAAGTTGAGGAGGAGAACGTGGAAGAAGAAGGCGCACAGGAGGAGAAGGAGGCAGAGCAGCAGCAGCAGGAGGACGATGGAGAAGAAGAGATTTCGTTCAAGAGCGTGAGCGAAGGTCAAGACTCGCCTGCAGATGAGGTGAGCTATGGCTCCTCTCCCAGGCTTTCTTTCTCCTTCCTTCTCCCTCCCCTCTCCTCTCTCCTCTCTCTCCTCTCTCCTCTCTCTCCTCTCTCCTCTCTCCTCCCCTCCCTTCCCGTCCCCTCTCCTCCTCTCTCTTCGCTTCCCCTCTCCTCCTGTTCCTCTCCTCTCTCCTCTCTCCTCCAATCCCTTCCCGTCCCCTCTCCTCTTCTCTCTCCCCCTCTCCGTCTTCTTATCCCCTTCTTTCTCTCTTCGCTCTTCTCTCCTACCCTCCCTTCTACATTTCCCTCCCTTCCCCTCCCCTCTCCGTCAGCTCCTCTGCTCCTCTCTTTCTTCCCCTTGCTCATATTTCCTTCATCCTCATTTTCCTGCTCCTTCAGAGTCTTGCAACTCTCCCAAGTTTGCCGTGCAAGTGCTCGAGTCCGGGCGAGGAGGAGGAGGTCATCCTTCAGCAGGAGAAGGACGAACAAGAATCGCCCGTGCTGCTTGAGGCAAGCAACGAGGAGAAGAGAGTTTCCAACAAGGTTGATAATGAGGAAGAGCAGCAGCAGGAGCAGCAGGAGCAAGCGGTAGAGCATGTGCAGGAACAGCAGCAGAACCAGGAACCGGAACAGGAAAAGGAACAGGAACAGGAGGAAGAGGGCAGTGAAAGAGCTGCTGAAAGAGCTGCTGGGTCAGCCGAACTGAAAGAAGAGGAAGGAGCTCGCGATCAGTGGTCGACCGTAGGGTTGAAGGAAAGCGACGAGGTGAGACTGTTTCATGCCTCCCATCACAATCGCCCTCGTTTCATCTTACTCCTCCTTCTTCTCCTTCTCCCTCTCCTTACCCTCCTCCTCCTCCTCCTCCTCCACCTCCTCCACCTCCTCCTCTCCCCCTTACCCTCCTCGTCCTCTCCTCTCCCCCTTACCCTCCTCCTCCTCCTCCTCCTCCTCCTCCTCCTCCTCCTCCTCCTCTCCTCCTCCTCCTCCTCCTCCTCCTCCCCCTCCTCTTCCTCTCCCCCTTACCCTCCTCCTCCTCTCCCCCTCCTGCCTCCCCCCTTCCTCCCAAATCTTTCTTCTCTCCACTCCTCTCCTCTTTAGCCCTCACAATTCTCCTCAGAGTCTCGTTGACCTTCCAAGTCTCCCGTGCAAGTTGTCGAGCACAGCAGGAGAGGATGAGGAAGAGGAAGAGGACGAGGAGTCCAGGCAGGGCCGAGGGGAGGACGAGTCGTTCTGCCCATCGGCATGCGCAGCATCAGCACTGTATGAAGAAGATGTTGTGAGTTGAGAGAAATGTCAACAGTCGAGAAGGAAATGACCATGTCTGTTGTTTGCAGATCATGATCCCACAGCCATCTCATCATGGTAAGAACTTCTGCTGGAGCTAAACGAAGAGATGAGATTGTTGAGCAGGTGAAGATGAGCACGGAGACATTCTTGGCAAACAGCAGGAGCAGGAGCAGGAGCAGGAGCAGGAGCAGGAGCAGGAGCAGGAGCAGGAGCAGGAGCAGGAGCAGGAGGGCAGGGAGGCTTGTCTATCTGCCTCACAGCAAGTATGCATGGAAGGAAATGAGCTGGTGATGGTCGGGGGTGAGACGTCGAAGAGCGAAGAAGAGCAGCGAGGAGATGAGGCGAAAGAAGCAGACGGGCTGGAAGGAGGAGAACACGAAGACAAGCAACCGAGACAGCAGGACGACGAGGAAGACAAGGAGGAGGAGAGAGAAGGGGAGCGAGAGGAGGACGATCGGCAAGGGCAGCAGCGGAACGAGCAACACCAGGACGGAGCTGAGGAGGAGGGAGGAGACGGAGATGAAGGGCGTGGAGGAGGCCAGTCAGAGGAAGGCAGACAAGGACGAGAGGGCGAGGAGCGAGATCAGAATCATTCTGAACTGCAGACGAGCATGCAAGGAGCGCCGCATGAGCTCTCAGCTATCGCTATGAGCCCCATCCCCCGTCTCAGCTGCCCTTCCCCTGGCTACCTTCAGCTGGCGATGCGGGGGAACAACGTGGAAGAGTTTCAGATGGGGAGCGAGACTGGGATGGAGGAGAGAGGAGGTGGGAGGCGAGGAGAGGAGAAACAGGAGGAGGCTCGGCAGGTTGCAGGAGGAGGAGGAGGAGGAGGAGGACGTCACGACGAACAAGTCAAGATGGAAATGATAAGGAGAAGCCTGGTGGAGTTGCTGAAGGACATTCAGGAGATGCAAGATATAGTCAATGTGCAGCAACAGCCAACGATGGTTGTTGAAGAAGTGGAGCAAAGGGAGGAGAAGCAAGCTGATGATGATCGTCGAGTTGACACGTGAGTAGAGATGGACTTGTTTGAGAACTTGTCTCAGGCGTGTTGTGTCTTCTGACTAAGATGTTGTTCAGACATGCCCAGGGAGGTCAGGGGGTGAAGGTGAGATGAGAGTGAAAGAAGACAAGAATGAATGTTGATGTTTGGCTGCAGACATTCGCTGATGTCTCGTCGTCGGCTGCTCGCCATGCCATCAACATTGTAAGGCTTCTTCTTGTTGGTTTCGATCCTCATGGCATGTCAGGTGAAGGAGGAGATCCAAAGGATCGAGAAGCTGATCAGGAAGCTGGTTGCGCTGAGAAAGAAAAGGGGGGGGGGAGGAGAGAAGGAGCAGGAAGAAGAGGAGGAGGAGAAGGAGAAGGGAAGGGAGGACGAGAAGAAGGGGAGTGGGGAGGAGCAGGAGGAGGAGGGTGGGGTCAACCAGCAAAGGGGAGCGGATGCAGCAGACAGGCATGCCAAGCATACCTTCGCAAATCTCAAGCTCCTTCCCTTCAACCCCCGGGTTATCGTCGCGCACGTGGGACAGGCGAAGCAGAACATGCTGCATGCTATCAAGGCTTCAGCGGGCGATGGAAATGCGCAGGAAGGGAAGGAGGAAGTGAGAGAAGCAATTCAGCCTGTGGCGAGGCAGGAGGAGAGCAAACAGATGGAATTCTCCGCCATGAGCTCTGACGCCGACCAACAGCAAGAGGAGGAGGCAGCAGTGGTGGTGGAGCAGGCAACAGCCGCCACAGCAGCAAGGGAGGAGGAGCAGGTGAAGGAGGAGGAGCAGGTGAAGGAGAAGGAACCCGTTGCTGCAGAAGAGTCAGAGGAGGAGGTGAGCGAAGGAGAGGAGAGGAGAGGAGAGGAGGGGAGATGAATGGAGGGGGGAGGAGGGAGGGGGGAGAAGGAGACACTCGCGTTCAGCGAACTGACTTCAATCTTCTGTCTTGTCGCAGAAACGAGCGAAGGAGGAGGAAGACAAGATAGCTCGGGTGCTGCTGATGATGCAGCAGGAGGGTTGGATGCAGGATTGAACGCGCCCCTGGAATTTTCAACTTTTGCTCAGGGGTTTCGCTCCTGCTCTCAATCTGCGCATGTGAGCGTCTAACATACATATGAATGAAAGATGGATCATAACGGATCCTGTGTAGGAGATGTTGAAGAGCAAAGTTCGATCTGTTTGCAGAGATTTACTCTTTCTCTCACTCAATCACTCTGTTTTACAGCTTTACAAGTAGAAGCACCGACGCACACAACAACATTCCCATCTGACACAGTTGCTATCTCAACCGCCAGCAATCACTTTCTCATTCAACTTGCAGATTCTTGTCCGGACTTTTCGGAACCACCGTGCCCATGAACTCTCTTCTTCCTCAATTCCATCCCTCCACTCCTCCCATCCCTTCCCCTCGTGTTCATACAGCTTCCTTGCTCTCCGCCCTCCCTTCCTCCTCACCTCTGAACCTGTTGTCCCGGTCTCCTCCCTCCTCCCTCCTCCCTCCTCCCTCCTCCCTCCTCCCTCCTCCCTCCTCCCTCCTCCCTCCTCCCTCCCTTCTACTCCATAGTCTTCCTCACATGCTCCAGCGCAGCATTCTCCGTCTGCTGCCGCACTAGGATGTCCAACGTCTCAACGAGAGGAGCGACGGTCGTGACGAACATCTTCTCGATATTCGATATCTTGCTGTCCATGTGCTTCTGCATCTTTCCGATCCTCCCCTGCAGTTCCTCGTACATCTCCCGCGCGTCCATCTCCGAGATTTCCCTCTTCTTCTTCTCCACGTGCTCCGCCAGGTCTTGCAGCGCACTGTCGTTGAGCCCGTGGAAGTGATGCTTGTTGTCAGCGTCTGAGGTTGCAGGGTGAGGGTCGACGCGGAGAGGAGCGGAGGAGCGGGAGGAGATGGAAGGAGAGGAGAGGAGAGGAGAGGAGGGGCGTGTGCGCGTATGGGGGAGGCAGAGGCAACAGGGGATGCAAGGGACAAAGGAGCTGGAGCTAGGATTCGGACAGGCAGGAGCTGCTGGCAGGAAGTGGGGATGGAAGGGAGACAGGGAGGGAAGGTTGACTGACCGACCGACACGTCCGTCTTGACCTTCTGCCCTCTGATCCACGCGACCAGGTCGGAGGCGAGGGCAGCAGCTGGGGGGAAGGAGAAGCGCCAGCGGTCCTTGCGCTCCTGCATGACCTCCCTGTACGCATCCAGCAGGACTGCCACGAAGAACCTGACCATAATCAGCACCATCCAGACCTTGAAGGAGATGTAAAAGATCGGCCCCAGCAGCGGCCCGGCTGTCCTGAACTGATCGTACTTCATCCCCCCGAAGATGAAGCGGAAGCAGGAGGCAAGCGCGACCCCGAAGCTGCGCAGGTCGTGGATCTCCGTCCCGAAGGCCAGTAGGCCGACATGGGCGAAAGCGAGGAGGAGGAGGAAGCCGGACAGGCACAGGCCCAGCAGGGGCCCAGCAGCCCTCAGGAGGGTCTGAAGGATGACGCGGGCCCACGAGAGCTCGTTGAGAAACTTGAAGGAGCGGAACCAGAGGAACCAGGCGAAGACAGCGAGGAAGCCCTCCGCCACGTCATACCAGTAGACAGCGTCTGCTAGGTTGTAATAGATCCTGACGCTGGGGTCGAAGTTGAGCGCCTCGAACTTCATTGCTGCGACTGCACGGAAGACAATGATGAAGAAGACAAGGAGGTAAAGGAATAGGTCGTAGATGTCCCAGGGAGACTGCCGAAGGTTGACGTCGAAGTTGCGGAAGAATAGGTATTTGTCCAGGGCATCCATGGCAATGAGGAGCAGGAGGGTCACTTCAAGCCCAAGAATGGTGAAATCTTGAGCTGAGTGATACCTGCGGTACGAGAACAGGGTTCAGCTCCTGTCTACTCCCCGCCCTCCTCTCTCCTGCCTTCACCTGATGAGCTTCGCAGTCCTGACGCTGTACGAGGGGATCACGGCCCCGGAGGAAGGGAGTTCCAGTATCGCTTGCACCATCACGAACCGATTGAGAGGAGGGTTGTAGAGGAAAACCTCCACCAGCACCACCCTCGTCCTGTAGTCTATCCACCCCGTGCTCTCCAGGTCACCCAGGACGGCTTCAGCCAGCGTGATGCAGGGGACGGTCTTGTTAGCAAGTGAGCAGTTGGCTCCCGGAAACTCTTGCGCGTACCCTCCCGATGTGTAGTACCTGAAGACGATCAGACAGACAAGGAGGAGAGCAGAAGGACAGTCACTTGGTCCCACTGCTGAACGAGGGCCAGGATGATGTGAAAGTGTAAGCCTTCGCCCACTCTGGCTCTGTGTAGAAGGGGCCGTAGCCCTGTTTGTCCTCGACCTTGGAGGAGTAGTCTGCCGCGCAGTCTACTATCTCCTTGGCTCCTACAAGTTCCAAGTCAGCTAACACCAACGATGGACCATCGGTGGCAACCTAGGAACTGCTGCGGGACTGTACAAGTCGCCCTTTGCACTCGCTTCTGTCGCATGCTCACAGTTCCCGCTATCAGGTTGTGCCCTGCTACCAAGTTCTGATCCCCGACCTCCCACGGATCTCCCCTGAACCAGTCTTGCATGTAAATCGCGTGCATGAAAGGACCTTTCATCCAACTCCAGATGTCGGAGACAACACTGATGTCAACAAACTTGGTGCCCGTGAACGAGGCGTTGAGATTGAACTGAGAATGGTCTTCCATGAGGAAGACAGATTGCATAGACCAAGACAGAGCCTCGTAGTTGGGGTCATCCGATGGGACCAGCGTGACAACACAGAATATGATGACGAAGACAACATGAGCGACAAGCTCTCTGCCTAACCTGCTGTTCTTGGCATGCTCCGTCAACGCCTTGAGCTTCTTCTTCACGATGGACTTGGAGCTCGTCGTAGCTCTTGATGCTGATCGCTTGCTGCTTGTGCCTTTATCCATCTCCTTCCCCTTTCCTTGTTCTCACCTGTTCAACTATCTTCTCTCCTCCTCTCCCTTGTTCAACTCTCGGATCTCTATCGCGGTGCCATACGGCGCCCAAAACTGGCCAGTTGATTGGCCGTTACAACTGAACCGTTACATCCATCAATCAGCGCCGCACTATGGCTGGGGGTGAGTTAGCCGCCTTGTCGGACTGACAGCTGGGTCGAGCGGCTGTGTAAGGCTGTGCGGACCATGGGTGGGCTGGGCTCCCGCGATCAGGCTGGAGGATGGCGCCTGGGAGATCGTTCCAGGACATGTCACAAGTCCCTCTCCTACCGTTGCAGTCACTGCTACCCCTGCGATGCAAGCTATGGCCATATACACATGCGAGAACTGCGGCGGATGTCCCTCCGCAAATTTTCACCCTTCTCCACCAACATCTCCTGCATCTTTCAGTTCCAACCGACTGTCATACTCTCCACATGCAGGTTTCCCCTGTTCGCGCAAGTACACGTCTGCAACAGTCGCACAAACTCTGCCTGGCACTTCCTTGCAAAGGAGAAAAAATGTTTCTCCTTCTTGTACCAGGGCAGCGAGTTGATGCTATCTTCGCATCATGGCAACTCTGTGCCAGGAACCCTTCCATCGAAGGAAATCGATCTTGAGACAGTATAGGCACAACTTCCATTTACTCTCGGAAGCAAGGTTGAGCTGCCTGTATTGTGAGATTTGAAGATGAAGCATATTGAGGTAAGCAGAATCCCTCGTGGTGGCTGCCAATAAAAAGCTGCAATCTGCACTTCTGATCAAAAGGATGATGGGGAAAACATAAGTTGAGATGTTATCTGACGGAATGATATATACACAACTTGAAGTTCAACACATTAGCACCACTGCATCACAGAAAAAACTGCTTCGAACTGCAGTCAGTAACTTAACGTAGATCAGTGAAAGCATCCGTCCGTCCCTACCGAAGAGCGCATAATTATCAGTTCAGGAATATCTTTCATTCCCATCAAATATATCTGCTCCAATCGCTGTCAGTAAAGCGAGCATTTTGCTCTGCTGCTCAGAGGAACAAGAACACGTTGGGGGTCTGGGTCACCATGTAGACGAGGCTAGGCACGTAGGGGGTTAGTAAAGGAGGTGTACGCTACTCGGTCGCATCGTCCTGCTGGAATAGAAAAGCTACTGAATGCTTGCTTGTCACCTGGCTGATCAGTGCATCCGCTCATGGTTTGAAGCGAACTCTTGCTATTTCACCTGCATGCGTTTCAACCGACAAATCGGTGGGGACAAAGAAATTTAAGATTCAGAACTGCTAACGTAGATTTGGTGAATGGAGGATCACGAAACTCTCACAACAACAGTATTTGCAAATCACTTCCATCACTTTATTGTTTATGTCGAGTTTCTACACGTTGACGCTTAAGCCTTCCACCAGGGAGCAGTGCCAGTGCGGAAGTCAGTCTCAGTCCAGGAGGAGAGAACGACGGTTCCGTCCTGCTCGCCACGCTTGGCGAGGGCAAGGGAGAGGGGAGCGGGTCCACGGACAACCTGAGTTGATAAGTAAGAACCAAAAGAACATGAGCAAAACCGGACAGGAAGTGAAAGGTGGTATTGAGAAAGAAGAACGGATTCATCCGGCGGAAGCTCCTACCTTGCCGTTCTTGTCGTACTGGGATCCGTGGCAGGGGCAGCAGAACTTGTTGGCGGCCTTGTTCCAGGGAACAACGCATCCCAAGTGAGTGCAAACAGCGTTGACAGCGAAGTTCTCGAGAGCCTTGTCATCGTTGACGATGAGGTAGGTGGCATCACCCTGTCGATGCTGTCAAACCGCCGAAACTCTGCAAATCCTTCCTCTTCTCTTCTCCTTACACTGCTCCTGACCTCCCTACCTTTAGTCCCGCCCGACCTCATCCTACTCCAATCTTTGCCCTCAACTCTCCTCCTCCCCACCTTGAGGCCCTGGACGAGGGAGCGATCTCCAGGTCCATGGGTCTTGAGCCAGTTCTCGATCTTAACGTCGTTGCCGAGGGCATCCTTGGCGACAGTGCCTGGTAGGAGAACAGCCGTCAGCCCTCAACCACCATCAAAGGTGCTCCGAAATGCTCACCGCCACCGCCACCGCCAGCCTTGGCAGGGACGAGGTAGGAGATGAGAACAGCGGGGAGAACGAGGAGGGGGCCAGAGACGGATCCGAGGAGGAGAGCGTTCATGAGCTGGCGGCGGCCCATGTCGGGCACGAAGCCATCGCTAGCGCTCATCCTGATTCATGGTCAGCGGTGCGTATAGAGAATGCATCGTCTCTCACTTGGGGGCGACTCTGCTGGAAGTGCGAGGAGCAGAGCGAATGCGCATGGAGGCATCGGCCTTGGCGAGGCTGGCGGGACCAGCAACCTGCGCATGCAAGTCAGTTGCCCAAAAACCCCGACGAATAACTCGTCATCAAACTGAAATGGCTGTGAACAAGAAGCATGGGACGAGTGATATGACGTGGGAAATTGTGGAGAGTGTTGGAAATGGTGTGAGAAGCGATCGAGTAAGGAGGATGTTGAAGGAAAACACTTGGATCCTCTGACCCTCCACATTCTGCGACCCCGCCCTCGTGCCACCCCTCGACCTACCCATGCTCACTTGATAGTATCACAATACATGAAGCTAACACATCCTCCCTTCTCTCTTCGCATTGGATCCTCTTCTTCCATCATCCATGTTCCAATGCTCAGCTCCCTCCCCATCAGATCAAGCACACACCCCTCGACAAGTCTGGCCTCCTCGTCATCGAAATTGATATCCCCCTTCATCCCATCATACTGAACCACAGCCTCTGAGGAGATCCTGACTCTGTCTCCTCACTGATGGAAGCGGGAGGAGGAAGAGGAGGAGCTTACAGGAGCGACGGAGAAAGCAGAAGCAGCGCCGACGAGGGCAGCAACAACGGTAGCTCTGAGCATGACGACCTTCCGCCCTCCCCTCCCGCACCCTCCTTTAAACCCCCGGGGGGTGTTACCCCTACCCCCGGTCACCTCCATTTCAATACGGGTACTCCAATAGATTGTAGCTTACCTAAGACGGGGTCCTAGGGGAATAGTCTTACCTAGATTATCACCTACCTCCCTCGTTGGGAACACCCACCCTTGTACGAGTGGGTTATGAAATCGTTATAGAACCCTGAAATTCTTACTGTACCGGTGCGATTGATATGAAACTACCCCACACTTTCTAAGGAGAGGACTTACACCCCACCCACTTGATTCCGAAAAAGGATGAAATACCCCCCGTCGTGGTTACCCAATGAGGCAGGGGTAGTGAAATTCGCTGGATTGTGGGGGTAGTAAATGTCAGGGGGTGGGTACGACAATGCACGATGACCCACATGAGGGACGGAGGGTCACGTGCTGGTGACCAAGGGGGTCATATGTTTGTGTAGGGTAGGGTACTTTGATTACCAGAAAATCAGGGGGGTGGGTGGCAGGTCAATGTATGAGGGGGATGATAACAAATGGAGTTCAGGTGGGTGGGTACGGTACTTAGAGTGGAGTGCAAGGGGGTGGAGTGTAATCATGGGAGCTGACGAAGGGGTGGGGGTTGAGAAGGGCATGTATTGTAGGGGTGGGATGAAACTTCGCCACGAAATGAAGGGGGTGGTTCTCCTCCCAAACTTGTATCAAAACTACGAAACGATGAGGCCGGGTGGGATGACAATAATATTGTGGGTGGTAGGGTAGAGAAATTTAAAGGGGTGGGGTCATTGTGATAGACGGGAGACGGTGGGGTTAGCTTGAGATACGCATCTGAATTGAAGCAGAGGTGGGAGGGTGAGGGGTACTTCATTCGAGAAAACATATTTTTCAGCAAACCATTGGGGTGGGATAAAAATAAGTGTGGGTAGGGTGATGGATTTGATCAACACAGTGTGAGAGCACTGGGGTAATTCTGGTCAATATGACGGGTACTTACCATTGCATGGGTCCTTGTACCCATGTTCCAGAGAAAGAGGTACCCCCAATCTCTTACTGACCGTACCCAAGCCTTGAACTACCCCTATGTCAATGCTACCCACCCCACCTACGCGTTGGTCCATGAAACGGCCTACCCCCACCCCGGCTACCACTGCACTCTACACGAAGCAGATGAGCGAGGCGGACCGGCGACCAGCTAGAGGTATAAAGCCGATTTGATAAATTGCATGGACGTCAGCCTTTTTGATAAAATTTTGCTCCTGAATTTTGAAATATAAAGGTTAATATTTCAAAAATTACTTATTTTGACTCAAGGAACTTCCATTCAGTTTATTATTATGAGTCACTACACGAAAGCCGCCCGGCCCGGGGCGGTTCAACGTGTTGGCCCGTACTGTCGGGTGACCGTGCTAGTGACGGTCAGCCCCCGCCTCCGCCGTCACTCAGTCACTCAGCCTCCGTCACGGTGATCGGATGACGGTCCGATACGGTCGTCAGCGGCCGCCGCCGAGCTGGCAGTGACCGGCGTACTGGCACGCCGGTACCGTACGGTACGGGCCGGCGGCGGGAATCATGACCGCGGGCCCGCTGAGCCCGGCCGCGGCCAGGCTGGCAGGCCGCGGCCGCGGCGGCCGGCGGCCCGGCGGGGCCCGGGGGGCCCGGCCCGGCGGCCCCGCCGGGAGCCTGAGCAGCCCCCGGTCCGGCTGGACGGCAGTCACGGTCGGACCCGGCGCCGGGCCGCCCCCGGCGCGGCGGGCGGTCACCCGACCCGCGGAGTCCGGCGGCCCGGGCCGCGGGGCCCAGTCACTCCGAGCCCCGGGGCCCAGGGCCGAGTCCCGGATGCCACCGATCAGCCGACCGTCCGCGAGGCGGGCCCTGCCACGTCGGACGGTCCGATCCGATCCAGCCTCCGAGGCTCCGACCCGTACGGTACTGAGGCTCGGATCGGACTCCCGAGTCCCCGGACCGTACGGCCAGCGGCCTGGCAGTCCGATCGGCCCCGGGTCCGGCCGCGCCGCGCTCCGACCGGGCCGCGGCCTGAGCCGCTCTGCGGCTCAGGCTGGTCACCGCCCGGCGGCCACCGTCACGTGGCGCGGCTCACTGAGTCACGCGCCCGGCCCGGGGCCGCCGGGCCCCCCCGGGGGCCCGGGGGCCTTCACGGTGATTATAGCCGGACCGTGATCCGAGACCCCGGCGGTCACTAGTAGCCTAGTAGTGGTCTTAACTTTGAGTAAGGTCAGGGTGACACCGCCCGGCCGCGCGGCCAGGCGGCCGGCCCGGGGCCGGGCCCGGCACTGCGCAGGGTCGGACTCCGAGGGCCGACTCGTCAAGCACAAGAAAGTCTATGTTGATGGATAAGGCTCATCATGGGAGAGGGAGGGAACAAGAGAGACGAGAGGGGCAGAGGGAGGGAGGGAGGCAGGGAGGGAGGCAGGCAGGGAGGGAGGGAGGCAGGCAGGGAGGGAGGGAGGCAGGGAGGGAGGGAGGGAGGGAAGCAGGGAAGCAGGCAGCGGATTGGTAGGAGAAGGAATGAGCGAGTAGTGGGAATGAATGAATGAGAGAAAGAGGGTGACCGTGTTCATTTGTGAGTGAACGAGCTTGCAGAAGAGCTCGGGAGCTGACATGTGAAGACGCGGGTGCGGGATAGAAGCGGGAAAGTTCACCGACAAGACGCCATCTGCCATGTCTTCTTGGCTCTTGCTGTACATCATAGTCCTGGCCCTTGCCAGCAGCTCGACAGCCTACACCATCTCAGATTGCAGTGCCTTGGTCTCCTTCTACCAGGCCATGACCGTCAACACCAAGTGGACCACCTCGACCGGCTGGGTGACGACGGATGACTGCTGCTCGTAACATCTGCGACCGTTGTAGGATCTGCTCTCCTTACCGAGCCTTCCTCCGCAGGTGGTATGGAGTCACGTGCTCGTACTCCACAAGGAATGGCACTGGGTTCGGCCCTTGGGTGTCTGCGTTGCAGCTGCCGAACAACCAGCTGTCAGGGTACCTCCCTTCCTCCTTCAGCCTCCTCTCTCGCCTTGAGCGCCTGGACCTCTCGCACAACAAGGTCAAGGGAGACATCTCAGTACTGCTGCAGATGAAGGTGCCACGTCATGGTGCTTGGGAGGGAGAGGCAGTGGGAGGGAGAGAAGGGAAGGGGGGTATGCGGGCGGGAGAGAAGGGAGGTGCCCGAGAGGGAGAGAAAGGAGGTAACTGGGGGGAGGGAAGGGAGGTACCTGGGAGGGAGGGCCAGTTGAAGGAGTTTTTTCAGGCATCTTCTGTGTGCATCGACACGGCAACGAGCCAGATACCCGACACCGTATTCGAGTCAGCCTGCAACTCCGACCTCAACTGCCTCGGGGGCGTGTGCAGGTGGGAAGAGGAGGTGCGGGGAGGAAGGAGACTGATAGCTCGGCAGTGTGGTGGGAGGGTTGAAGGAGATTCGGCTATCAGATAACATGCTCAACGGGACTATTGGAGAGGAGATATCCAAGTGAAGGAGGAGGAGAGAGACGAGGCTGACGTGACACGTCCTGGCAGCTTGTTCAAGACTCTGACGATCTTGGACCTGAGCGCAAATGAGCTGACTGGGCCCATCCCCGCAATGGTCCTGACCTTTGTCCTGCTGGGTCGTCGGATGTGCTGACAGTCCCTGGTGACAGATCGGGACGCTGACGCAGCTAGTCGAGCTGAACCTCTACTACAACCAGCTCAGGTGAGCCCGCCCGAGTCTCGCTGTGTTGTGAGGTTGTCAAACTCCAGCGGGCCGATACCGGAGATGATTGGAATGCTGGTCAAGGTGAGTGAAGACGATTGAGGACGGAAGGATGGTGTCTATGTGAAGATATCGATGATATAATGGAGAAGATATCGATGATATGATCAATGGAGTTTTTGATACGATGAGGGTACATGATAGATCATGAGATGAGAGGGAACTGCTATTAGCACGAAGATAACGACTCTCCTCAGTTGAAATACTTGAATGTCGCCTTCAACCTCCTCAACGGAACCCTCCCCTCCCAGGTTTGCTGCTCCTCCATGATACTCCGATCCCTCTCCTCCCCTCTGTTCTCACCTTTCGCTCCCCTCTTTTCCTCTGCCTTCCCTCCTCTCTCCTCCTGGTCCCCCATCACACTTCCTCTACAGAATCTTCCCCCTGTCTGATCTTCTTCTGATCTCCATCATCCCATTTTCTCTTCCATTCCCAACCTCTCCTTTCCTCCTTCGCCTCTCCTTCTGCACTTTTCTCTGTCCTCCGTTCTCACTTCTTTGAAGATGGTCAACCTCCAGCGCCTTGAGCAGCTCGACCTCTCAGTCAACAGAGTGCGTGCCTCCCCTCCTCCTCTTCCTCCTCCTCCTCCTCCTCCTCCTCCTCCTCCTCCTCCTCCTCCTCCTCTTCCTCCTCTTCCTCCTCCTCCTCCTCCTCCTCCTCCTCCCTCGCCCCCGCCCTCTTCCCTCTCGAAGAAGTTTATCTCTTCCCGGATACTCTCAATCCTCTGCGCATTTGTACTCTTGTCTCGTGTCCTTCCCCATCCCTTTTCTCTCTTCTTCCTCCTCTCCCTCCTCCCTCCTCCTCCCTCGTCTCTCTCATCTCCCTCCTCTCCCTCTCTCCCATTCTTGACAGCATGCTTCAAGTTCGTCAACGGAATTCCTGTGGACATGGGCGTCCTCATTTTC